GTGCGTACAATCATTTTTACTCAATAATTTAAACAGGGATTGCATGATTTTGTCTAGTTGTTATAAAAAGTTATGGTGTGAAAGTTAAAACGACGGTTAGGGATTTAAGTGAACTTTTGTATAATATCCTTTTATAATAGTCTTTATAGTGGTATATATGCCTAAGGAAGACAAGTGACACATGAAAAGCAAAAACCATAGAGTTACGAAATTGTCATAGATCAATTTTTGCAAAGATTATAAATTCAAAAAAAATAAATGATGTTTCATTGGAGACACAGATTATAAAACAGTTCGTTTCAAAATTTTTACAAAACAAACTTGTCACAGATAATAATAATTACGTGACCATCATCTTGATGTGATTATTTAACAATCTAAGAGACGGAATGCGACATGCGCGTGCGCATTTAGGTCATTAACACGACCAACGACCAACGACCAGTGATCAGGGTGAAGGGCAGCAGGTTCGATTCCCGTGTTAAGATTTATGATACGAATTCATCCGTGTCATCGTTATTAAATATATCTTAGTATCTAGTCTAAAATCAACATGTAGGGGACTACAGCACTGTATGCTAACCTACAGTGGGTCCTGGAATCCGTCTTTGTTACAACTGTCCTTTGTCCAGCCAGCAGTTTGTCCTTGACTCATACGACAGAGTTAACTTTTTTCATGCATGTATGGGATATTACATGTCTTAAATAATACTATGTTACATTTCTACATCCGGTGTGGTGACCTTCAGAAGCCCCCCCCCTCACCTCGCAAATCAAACTGCGTAATAATTATTCTTGTTTCAATTTTTTGCCAACATAACATTACGTTGATGTGCGATGTTATATAATTTTGGATGCTTTCAAGTGTTGTCTTGATAAAGAATAAGGCTTAAATTTATAGTCGGTACTTAAACTTTGCTTAGACCTTACGCTTATCCTACGCCAATCTTATCTCAGCCTTTGCTGAGACTTATCTCAGAATCGAATTTATAGTCGATATGGGTTAAGCATATGTTAAGCCAGTGCTAAGACAAATTTTGACAGTGTTTCTATTTGCATAATATGTTTTTTGTGATTCAAAAATACACTTTTATATTTACAAAATTAATATTTATGATACTTGATTCCTACATCTTTAATCTTATTCATTTAATTTTGAATTTACTATCTATATTATAAGCAAAACGACGAAATTGACGCTTGTATGTTTTGGTAATCGGTAGAACGTAACAAGGTTATTTGTCTTGACATAGCAAATGACAACGCCAAACCTTTAACTTATTTCATTTTGTTGTTGTTGATGTCGCGATATTCGTTACAAATTATGTGATTTTTTTCGTTGACCCTAGCGTTTCTCTGATATACGACACATTTCTCATGGATTTTGAGTTACCTACCTGAACATTCGCAGATTTTATCCTTTTACGTTGACCCTGGCATAATCTTACGGACTCTTGATACTTCATCATACATTTGGTTTTGGCTTAAGAACTAACAAGGATTTTCCAATGGATAAAAATAAATGGATAGATTGGATTTCGTCAACAACAGATAAGAAATGTTGACAGGCTTAGAACATCGGCTCGGTGGGTAAATATGATGATCAAAGATATCAAACATTGTATACTGAAGAAGACACGTATGCGACTTATGTTTCAAGAGAATTGAGTCAACGTAAAGCGCAATTTATACGTTTTCCGACATACCTACTACTACCTACATACTGTAATATGCAAATTCGAAGAATTTTGTAGCTCTACCAACAATACGGCCTGTAAAGTATAATTCTTGTTAATAAAAATATTTTTCCTTTATATTCGAAATACGTTTTTATTTTTTTCCTTTTATCGCTACAATCCGTGCCCGTAAGCAAAATCGAACTCTATGGAAAGTACAAAATGTTTGGAAAGGGAGTTTTCATCAAGTAGATCCAGAATCAAGAAAAAAATTAATTTTAGCAGTTGATAAAAAAATAATATATAAAAATAATAGTCGATAAACACGTAAGTTTTTCGTAAGTTTTCGGTTAGTCAACGATTTTGGTGACTTAGCATTTGCTAAGCACGATCTTAGCAAATGCTAAGCATATGTCTATGAATATCAAACTCAAAATAGGTCAAAGCAAGGTCTGAGTGACGACTATAAATTTCAGCCTTAGTGCCCACTTTATGGCAATCCTCTTTCTGTGTTATTGTAATACTAGTTATCTACAGCGACTCCGTCCGCGCGAAATTAAAAAAATGCCTATGTTGTACTGTACATCTGTACCAAATTTCATCGAGAAACATTGGGACCGTTCTTAAGATAACAAACGTACATCCACCTTACAGTCTAAACTTTTGCATTTATAATATTAATAAGATAGAAAGAATTGCTTAAATATTAGTAACACATAAGGAAATGAAAGAATTAGTCGTTAGAATTATAATAATCGTGTTATAACAGATTGTCATGACCTAAATAAATATATAAAACAAGAAATAATATTTTACATAACCTTACATCTACCATGAAGGTCTGGTAATTAAGACCTAACTTATTAGTTGTAGGTTTTGTCTAATTGTGACAAAAACATTAGAAAACGGTAGGTGATTCGAATCGGACGAAACTAGCAGTTCCGGATGGGTGGGCAGGACGGAACAAAAACACGTGTACAAATCTAATAACCCTGAAGTAACTGAAGCGTTTAATTTTATTGATGAATAATGGAGGCGGAAATATTTTTATATTGTATAATTTTCAACATGTCCGCCTGAGTTTATCGCTCGACGATCACGAATTCAAAAAAACAATATTTTTAATTTTTGATATTTTTTTTGGATTTTTTTTATTTCACTTCTGTTACCAACGCCCATAATGGATACAGGTAAAAAAAACATTGTACTTTGAATAGAATAATAGATGTATCTACGTATTAAATACTGGCGATGAAAAAAAAAAGAATTACAATAAAAAAAATAAGTAATAAAACTACAATAAGGCACCTTACATAAAACAACGTAAATATTCGAATCACGGCGATTTTAGAAGCTAAGCAACTTAAGCAATACAACATCGTAGAGGTTCGTATACAGGCATGCGTCGCGACTCGTCGCCGAGATTCAACGTCGTGTGTACGAAGCGCGCGCTACGCAAGTCGCGATGAAACCATACAAAATTAGTTTCGACGATTTACGTTGCCTTGTGTCCGAAGGGCCTTAGTCTTCAACAGTCTATCGAAACTTGTTTATCAATATCGTCGTGAAAAAAGTTGCAACGATTTTCAAGATGGCGGAGAAAATCACAGTTGACATCTCGCACTGGCCGAAAAGACGACTCGTCTCGATGAATCAATTTGTGTAGGAAGCTCGTGTAACGCGATACTAGCAACGTACGGTTACAAATTGTAACCTACAAGATTAGTTTCGAAGAAAGTTGCCTTTTGAAAGAAGGGCCTAACTCACGCCCTTACCCCAGGAGGAAGGCAGACACGGTATCCTAATTAGTGCGGGCCTACTACTAAATTGAATGCACTATTTTAAACCAATTTTTATACCACTCTTATAAATCACTAGCGGACCCGACAGGCGTTGTCCTGTCGACACGTCTTTAATTTGAATAAATTAATATGAAGTTAATATTTGATGAAAATTGTTATCCTAAACCATTCCCAGATCCCCTTGAACACACACAAAAAATTTCATCAAAATCGGTCCAGTCGTTTGAGAGAAGTTCAGTGACATACACACGCACAGAAGAATTATATATATAAAGATAAAGATCTATGTAGTTAGAACTATATTATAAAAAGAATGGCTTGTAATGAATGAACAAATGAACTTTCTCGACCTTGGTTTGCTGGAATTATCTTAAAATATCTATTAAAAATTTAATTTATCGAAATAAAGAGTCTATACAAATTGGAAATAATGACCATGTGACCTTTGTACACAAGGTTTTAAAACATTAATATTAAATCACATTACTATTAGTATTAAAAGTTGTAATAATAGAACTCAATAATTGGTCTTTATATATTTTAGTCGATTTGTGTCAAATTTTATAAATAAACGATAAAAGCCGACTTTGACTATATTGAATCGACACAACAAGTTTTTATCCAAATGTATAATTTGTTATTTCTAATAAAAACAAATAAAATCAACTAAAATTTAACAGTTTATTTGAACACATAGAACACATAACGTGTGGTAGCTAATTATATAAGTGTAATAGTTAAATTCATGGTCATTTAACTTTGTGGTCGGCGTACGCTAAGGAAATTCTTGAAGCTCGCGAACCCCGCGTGTGATTGATGCATGCCATTGATTATAGAAAGATATGTTGAAATAAAAGAAAGGTTTAGTTTCTTTCAAAGATATTATTATGTAGAGCGTCGGTGGCTCAGGAGTCGAGCCCTTGACTTGCAATCTGCAGGTCCTGGGTTCGAATCCCGAAAATGTACCAATGTGTCTTTCGATTTCCGATTTGCATACGTACATACGTAAAACATCGTGATGCAACCTGCACATATCAAGAGAATTTCAAAGATATGTGTGAAGTCAACCAACCCGCACTTGGCCAGCGTGGTTGACTATGGCCTAGTCACCCCTAACTTAGGGTAAATTCCGAGACCCTCGGTGGGGACGTATAGTGAGCTGATGATGATGATGATGATATTATTATTTCATTCCAGATCATACCTAGATGTTATTTAACAGATATCTAATTTCCTTTACCTTTCTAAATTTAATTTTCTCATAATTTTTCTCATTCTCATAAAAATTATGAAATCTAATAAAAGATTATAACCAACTTAACATGATCTCTGATGTAATTTTCGCCTGAATAATTGTTAGATGAATTTTAGGAAATTATTAAGCGAATATTACAGGATTGGAGGTCAAATAAAAATGGTGTATTTAGCGGTTGATTACGTCAAGTTATGTTCAATGATATAAGTTAAGGTGTTACTTAAGCGGACGCTTGGTCCGCAGGCGGGCAGTCGGGTAGACGCGGCGGACGCTGCGTTTGCTAAGTTATCAAGTAAATTTATGTGTATATTAGTTACTTGTGTTATTTTCGGCTTTATTATTGGATAGTGTTGTGATTTTTTTTTAATTTTGAGTGTACTGAAACCTTTAATAAAAAAGGAAAACGGTAAGTTAAAATTTTATTTTTTAACAGACTTCAAAAAGGAGGTTTTTAATTCATCTGTATGTTTCTTTTCGTCCGTAACTCCATCCCTAGTTGTTCGATTTATATAATTATTTTTATTTATTGTAAAGTTTCTGTAGGAATAAAAGTGTATTTGTAGCACAAATGAGCTTTATTAAAATAAATTTGAACAAAACCATGTACTATGCGCGGGGAACAAAACTGAAAAGGGAAGATTGCCAACAACAAAAATTTATGTGTAGCAGTTTTAGTGTTGCCATAAAAAATTACAATAAATTTACTAAAATTAACAATTTTATTAATGTTCAATAATTTAACTGAACCGTTTCTATTGCGTGACATTGGTCCCATTTTTATTAAATAGATTTATTGGTATTTAAGAATTAATTATACAGAACTATGATATTTTGGAGAAAAGTACGAATTGGTACGAACGATTCATAAAAATTGAGTCGACTGTTATCAGAAGGGCACAATAGAATGCGTTCATATATAACCTCTAAAAACTATAACCTCAAAAATTATTACTAAGAAAATTTAATTAATTAAACAATTGCTACAAATACTATTGAATTATATAAATTAAATTGTAAAACAAAAATTATCATTCCTCATCATCCATTTTAACGCAAATCAAATAATTGCTAAAGACATTTCACCGCAGTTGCAATTCATAAAAAAAAAACGAAATATAAACGAAATAATTGGAATAAATTAAACATTAAATTAACTAATTAACGTAGTTTAATCTACCTCCGATCTTACTAATCTTATTATGTTACTTATATTATAAATGCGAATGTTTGGATGAATGGATGTTTGTTAGAAAATATCTCCAGAACAGCTGCATGGACCTAGCTAAATGCGTAAATGTAGTCTCGAAAAAACACACAGGCTACTAATCAGATTTTTTTAATTCCTCAAGGACGAAGTCGCGGGCGTTAATAAACTGTAAAAAATATTTTATAATTTCGTTTAAAATTAAGGCCCCGACACACATTAATCGGCTGTGTTGTTAAAATAAGTATTTAATCCCCAAATCTATGTTTTTTATATATTAAAAGGTGGCAAACGAGCGAGCGGCCACCTGAAATCGCTGAAATAGCGAAGTGACCGTTGCCCATAAACATATGCAATTGAATATGCGTTGCCTACCTTTAATCGACGGAGGAGAGGATGCACAGAAAGAAAATATTTTCCCTTCCCATGCATCCTCTCATCCGGAAAGTCCACTTCCACTTCCCATCCTATGCTTATAAGGAAAAGGGTGGGAAAGGAAAGAGGACTAAATTAGGCCTGGGGACGCACACTCATCAGACGAAACGAGGAATTGCTTCCACTTCACGCCTGTCTTCTGTGTGGTCGTGGTATTTCACCAGGCGAGCCGGGCCGATTCGTGCGAAGATGTTAAAGCGGGCTCTACCACTGTTAAATGTTTCAAAACGACGCGGCGTTCGGATTCGCGGGCGTCAAATAGACTGCGATCATTCGTTTTTTATACCATACAGTCTTACTAGTATAGTACATCATACTTGTGTGGCTAGTGTTCAAATCATTAAATCAATTAGGAAAAAATAAATGAGTAACCACTACATAAGTACCTTGAAATCATAATATTTGCGACTTTAACTAATTTCCGCATAGATTAATTTTATTCTAAAATCCTTGAAACGAGGTTATATAACGTTATGGTAATATTTTTTTCGAAAAAAAAAAAATAGTTATAATTAATAAACTCAAAATTATAATTAATTCAAGATTTTTACACTACTGGATTTAGAATTTGAATTTTTAATTAATAAGCTCTCAATAACTTTCAAGGACATTATAATATGTAATAACAACAATAAAACCTGTTAGTTATATTAACTAGAACAAGAATTGCAAAAAAAAGTTTTAAATGCATGCATCTTCCCAGCAATTTTATCACGATTTTTTTGATATCCTCCATTCAAAATGTATGTACATATCCGAGTTTTCATTTTTTTTACTTCAAAAGTAGCTTATTGTCCAAAGTTCATTATACTTTGATAGTTTCCGTACGTGAAAAAATATCGTTGGTATACCGTAGCATGTGGGACACCGGTGCGTGTTGTTAATGGGTAAACCCCCATATAACCTTTCCCCCCCCCCATGGCCAAAGCCATCTTTGTTATGATTCCCTCTAAATACCAAAAAAAATACCGTATTATACCATCCATTAGGAAACAGAATCGTTCAGCCAAAATGTGAAATAGATGTAATATATAGTCATAGTTCATAGTCTGGAAGAATACATAGGCTGTTAATAAAGTTTTTGTATTCCGTGCGGACGGAGTCACGGGCGACAGTTAGTTTTTATTAGAAAAAGGAGTGCCGCACGCTTGCCTTCAGCCTAAAGACGTTCAATCGCACGAGACGAACATAATAAATAAATGATTTTTATATCTAATGCAAAATACGTTTCGATAAGTGATTGACGTGAAGGTTTTTATATCCATTCATTCAGTCTGTAAGGATTAAATCCGTTCAGTGATCGGCGATGGACCCTACACTGAAGGCTTTGCATTCAAGGAAATGCATTGTAATTCACGGGTGCGGGACAATGATTCTAAAATAAATGGATGCGGTAATTTGTAAAAAAGAACTTACAAAGATTTAAGATTTTATAAATACTTCCTTGTCTCTTTTTCTAACTGTTACGGTTCAGTTATGTTATTACGCATTACATTAAAAAATTAAATTCATTCACTATGCTACACTAAATAACAAATTTTAAAATATTCGCTTATTTTTTTACTTAAGTACCAATTAACAATGATTGCAATCTGACCGGATTATGCAAGATGTGCATCTTATAATAAAGATTTAAACACGTCATAAATTTAACTAACATAATTTTGAACAAACTAGAAAATAGGTAGGATAATTTGTTTATAAACTGTAAATCTAAGCTGTTATTTAGCTACAAAATTTTTAATTAAAAGATTTAAAAAAAATCAATAAAACACAAGGGCATTTGATTTTAATAAGTTTTTAACAACTATATTTTTGACCATCTCTTTTTGATGTTTGTTATAAGGTATCTACAGAACGCCACCAGATGCAAAAGATTGTTAATAAATAAAATGTTGGCTACTCCACATTTTCTCAGATCCGTGGTGACCGAGAAGCGAACAATTGCTTCGTGATCGCTGCGCATCGGGGTCACTGCCACCGCGCCAAGCCAACGTTGTATTTGCATTCAAAATAATTGTTATTATTCTTTACTCTTTTATTATAAAGTTCAATTTCGATCGACATTAATTTCTATATAAGTTTGTAATTTCACACAATTACTTTTGCAGTAATTACAAGCAATTTTAAATCTTATTTTAATGTGGCAAAAAGATTAGAAGGACAGAAAATCACAAAGCATTTTGATAAGTTTTTTTAGCTGTAGAATGTTAACGTGTGTTTTATTGGTTAGTTTTAATACTAGCACAATAATTAAGTTAGGTTCAGTCAACAAAAGTGAATGTAATATTTTAGTTATTTAATAATTCACGTATTTTGTTAACGGTTATACAGTTACTAAAAGCTGTTTCTTATAATCCAGTTACTAAGATTTGTGAAACGTGATACAGAATCTAAGTACAAATGGTTTCAAATATCTTGGCGGCTCTTAACTTCAGGCATAGCAAGCGTAGCGGGATAAGGGCGGAGGGCACTGCGCAGCGCGCCTATGACTTTTGGCCACCAATATATTTGAAAAGAACTATATGTTATGTTGCGCGTGGGAATTTCTAAATGTTACAATGTAGCTCGGATTAACTTTCAATTCTTGACAGATTTTGATTAACGATTCAGTATTCAAAGACTAGTTTTACATAGAAGAGTTTTAAGCTTGCCTATGATAACGCTGCGTTAGGGTAGGGCGAAGTGGAGCGACCGCCCAGGGCACTGGGCATAAAGGGGCACAAACGCAAGAGTCGGATATAATAGGGCACCTGTGGCGCCCCCAAGTTACTCTATCCCAGCCCAGGGTAGATATACAAAAACCGGCCCTATGCCTGCGTCAAAAAATAAAATTCACACCTACACCTAACTGCAACTCCGGTTTCCACTGACGCGAACCCCTTGACAGTAGCGCATTTAACGACTAAGAGGAAAATCTTTAGAGTCGCAGCACGCAACTTAGATAAGAATTTGACCTAGGATTAAAATGTACTGCCATAGGTTATGCGACCTTGGTATTTCTTGGTATGTTCGGGACGGTAGCGATGGTTATAAAGACATATAAATCACGTCACAGTCACGACTGTACCGGATCCTTGCGACTGAGACAAAGCCTACATAACAAACAGCTCAAAGTTGCTGACTCTTTGCGCAAGAGACCTTGGCGTTACATCTAGTTATAGTAGATTGTCCATAAAATAGTAATAAATAGGACAAAGAGAAAGGGCATTTAAACAAAATTAAATATAAGAAATTATAGCATAAATTAAACTTGGCTGTAATAGGAGTCAAAAATATTGACAAATTGAAAATTAAAAAATATTTTTATAATTTTATCTCATTAGATTGTCCTAATAATGTTGTAAAGTTTAGTGCTCCTAGTAAAAATTAGTAACAATCTAGTAATTTGAGCAGGTGTCGTGTTCGGACATTGGAAAATTGTTTTTAAGAGTATACTATTTCAAATTTAATGGAATAGAATTATATAAAGTTCACGAAGGGAATAAGTTTAATTCAGCGTCAAATTTTTTGTTGTTCATGTCACCGATAGAATGTGGACATCGTTAGTTTATAATGCGACTAGAATTGCTGTATCGGAAAATTGTGAACTGTACAGATATTAAACGCACATTTTATTTTAAGATAATTAAAACTCTACCTGCCGCCCAATTTCATTGATTTAATCGTTACTTACGACAGTCCCTAAGTGTAGATTTTTCATACTAAAGAGACATCCATAGTGACACTTACCATCTCTTTGTAAGGAAAGCTTTAAATACGTAATAGAATCTGTATACGTTAGACGACATAATTCTATTATTAATTAGCAAATATCTATGTTACACATATATGACATGACCTTGATGTAAGTTATAGTTTCCTAGTTCTTATTAAAATCAACACAAAAAAAACTAATAAATAAAACGTTTTTATATTTCAACGCTTTTACATCGTTTCCTTGTTTATTATTGACAAGTATAAATAAAAAATCACTAAAAACTGCATAGAAATAGAAATATCATCAAACATATAGAACCAGAATGAACATCTTCCTATTTTATTAAAAAAAAATACTTAATATAATTTAAAAAATAATACAACAAAATAAAATTGGCACGAATTCATGCATTAATCAGTTCCGATCAGACAATAATAAATGTGACGAGACAAAAATAATAAGTAAAAAAATATTCGTAAAGAACGTTTGGTGGATTTAGCGGGAGCTTCATCGTGTCCCCAGATATCTAATATTTCCGGAAAATAACGTGTCACTTAATACAGTCTTGCAGTATTAACATTCTGCCAAAGACGTGGCATAATGGCAAGAACCTTTGCCTTTTTAGTTATAAAAAAGATAGATGTGAAGAGAAGATAATCGCGCGGGAAATGTGTAGTCCCGAATAGTGCTTGATGGAAATTATTAATTTAAATAATGTATATAGGTTAGTATAAGGATATTAACAATAAATAAATGCATTTTGGCTGCCGTGCTGTTTTCGATACATAGAATTATTGTTGGACGTGTTAATTACTACTTGATTTTGACATTTCGGATTCTTTGTTTATTGTCTATGGCTAACAATGTTAGTTACTTATAATGTAAATTGTAGTGAGTCACAATTTAACTGTCCGATTGCTTAAGACTTTGATAACGTATGACTTTAGAGGATTGCAACAGCTAGTGCGTTCATTTCTCGAGGTTGTATCGGGGCATTATAGTCGTTTGTATTTAGTCTAAGTAAATGCATAAACTAACAAGACGAATGTTTCATAAACCTAACATAAATTATAATTAGATTTGTATTTTTGATTTAGTCTCAATCATTTTTAAGAAAACGAAAGAAAACTATTAAACGAAATATTTACTAATTCGTTTATAGCCTAGAAACGTTTTCAGATTTTATAGTTTTCGGATAGAGTTGCATGATATGTTTAAAAACAGCAACAGCAGCACAGGAGCCAAAATGCATTTATTACATTGTTATAATCCTTACACTAAAACTATATACATTTTTACACTGATAATTGCATCGAGGAATATTTGCGACTAGTCCCGCGTACATTAGTAACACTTCCCGCGCTATTCACATCTTTTTACATCTATCTTTTTTCATAGTAAAAAAGGCAAAGGTATTGGCCATTATGCCACGTCTTAGGCAAAATGTTTATTCTGCACTAAAAAAGTTTTCAAATCACTACACTTCTTTACATTCCTTTACGGTATTGAGGTATATTATTATTACTAGGGTACTGCCTCCTAGGTGTTAAATCTCCTTAACAATTCTATTGCAAAAAAGTAACGTATTGTTGTTATTAAAGTTATTGTATTTAATAATAATCCAATAGATTATTCCATCATTAAAAATAACTAGAATTTTTATAATAATATTACCATGACCATAAATTAAGTATTTTTGTTTTGTTCCTTTAAAATATTATCTTATGTTGTTAATAACGTAAAAAGAAAATTTTCTTCGTCTGCAAAAATGTTATATGGTCAAATTGACCATATAGATAAATTAATTTAAAGGTTTGGTAGTAAAGTTTTATTATTATAATTATTATTTCTACATCATATTTAAGGAAATAGAAGCCAATCTTTATATATTTGAAACAATTAATAACAGGATTATGTTCATTAAGCGTACATCAGTATTTCTCGGTTTCTGAACGAGATAATGACTTCATTTCATTTATGAAAATTATGAGATACGTTATGATCCAATTACCTTTTGAAATCATTTTTAATTAATTTGATATAAATAAATAACAATAAATTATTAGCCATTAGCTTAGTGATCAAGTCTACGGACATCTTATTACCTAGTTTTAAATTCAATTCCGTTTTCCTTATCCTAGGATTAATACAAAGCTTAGTCGTATTAACTCAATGTAAGTAATTACTAATAATTTCCTTTTGTTACAGATAAAATCACTCAAAATTAAATAGAGCATGTACAATATCCAACATAAAAGAAGCATTTAAAATTATACAAAAATAAGATGGCGCCACAAGAGCGAACTTCTTGTTGTGAGCAGGAGGATGATTCCCGCCAAAATGCGGGCATAGACAACAATCTGTCAAACATCGATTTGAGCGGGACTTTTTTAAACAAAGCGTTTACACACGACAGCACAGATAATACAAGTAATACAACAAATAAAATAAGTGATAGTGCAAATAATAATGGAAATGCCAACGTGAAGAAACCGACAGACTTTGATGATTTATTGCCTTATGTTGGCGAATTCGGGTTATATCAGAAAATGTTGTTCTTGTTAATGATACCGTTTGCATTTTTTGTCGCATTCGTTTATTTTTCACAAATATTCATGACCATTGTTCCTGAGCAGCATTGGTGCTGGGTTCCTGAGCTGGCGAACTTAACAGTTGAAGAAAGGTGAGTTTAGAACTATGAAAAAAATATTATTTAAAAAAGAAAACAGATAAGATTTTTTCCACAATGCATTCGGCAATTTAAGACCAAGGTTCGTCGTGACTATTTGGGTCAGAACATTTATGGAATTACATGTTTGTTAGTTTAGCTAAAATCTTAAGTGAAACTAACAAAAAAAAGATTTAAGTAAGTCGTTTTTATTGACCTCGATTATAGTGTTTGCTGCTTGTATTCGACATTCAAACTTGAGCAGAATTTATGTGTACTAGAAAAATTATAAAGATGCTGTAATGCTTATTACGTAGATTTATAATCTATAGATTATAAATCCGGTGCACAAAAGTGAAAAGCCTTTTAGTGTGTAACTCTTAGTGTTGTCATTTAAAATAAGAATGACATTTCGAAAATCGATTCTCGATTAAATGTCAAACGTTACGAAACGCAATACCTATAGGTTATAATCTGTGGCTTAGTACTAATTGAAATAGTTAAAAAAATACTTAAATTTCATATTTTAACACTTTTGTACGTGTTTTATAATTATCGTAAATATAAAATAGTACCAACCTATCTCCAAAATGTTAACCTAAAACTAAAATCTAAATCTGAAGTCTAATTTTTTCGCTCTTTTTGATTAATTCACAAAACAGGACGCGGTTTTATTTTAAATCATTGACGCTATTGAGAAGTAATTAGTAAGTGCTTTAAATCAATTTTATTCATTACATTTACAAAGAACAAATCAATTATAATTGTTTTAAATACCTTTTCGTATAAACAAGTCTGATCTATTTGATATCGTCACGAAAGTCATCTGTTGAATATTCATTGTGTTCGATGAATCTTATTAACAAAGTTATTTAAATTAAAAACGCATAAATACAATTTAACACTTTGTTTATATTTGTTATTGTAATTAGTTATATATGTTTATACTAGCTGTAATCTGCGACTCCGTCCGCGCGGAATAAAAACATAATCAGTAGCCTATGTTCTATATGTATGCCAAATTTCATGGAGGTCCGTTTAGCCGTTATGGAGATACCTTCAAACAAACATTCAACCATCCATCTAAACATTCGCATTTTTATTTTTGTAAAAGAAAGTCGTGTTAGTTACACTATTTATAACTCAAGAACGGCTTTACCGCTATGGCTGAAAATTGGTGAGGAGGTAGCTTAGAGCCAGGATACGGACATAGGATGCTATTTGTTCATTTTTTTTTAATTAATGGCTTGAAGATCTGCTTTTTATTTAACTTACTAATATTATAAATGCGAATGTTTAGATGGATGTGATGTGGATTGATGGATGGGTGTTTGAAGATATCTCTAGAACGGATGAACGGATCTCGATTAAATTTGGCATACTTATAGAATATAGTCTGAAAGAACACATAGGCTACACTAGTTAACTTTTTTTATATATCCACGCGGACAAAGTCGCGGTCGACAGCTAGTTTATAATATTAGTAAGATTTAAGATCATTATCATAGATACTTAGCACGTAAAATTAAATTAAATACGTAATAGATTTCAATAGTAGCGTTCAATTTGAATTTGAAGTTTTTTATCGCAAAACAAAAAGCGATCTGTCTCCATTATCAAAGTATTGAAGTAATGACCTTTGCTTGATTCAAATCAAGCGTATAATAGTTAGTTCCGACTTTTTTAATCTGTTTCCGTAATATGGTAAGCAGTGGTAGTGTTGCCATTAAATATATTATGCATTTTAATTTATTTTCTTGTAAACAAATTGATATGCATTAAAACATTACTTAGTCTTACGATATTATTTTAAAGACGATATTTTTGGTGTCTATTAAATATTGATTATTCAGATGCATATTGAATAAAAAAATAAACATCGAATTAAAGCAAAGCCATAAGAATATAGAAATATACTCTAATAATATAATCTTACACTGGTGTAGCCGTTTTCCGTCAAGCGGTTTAGCAGTCAAGTCTATTTGAATTCGATAGTTTATTTGTTTACTTCAAGTTTTTGCGCCATTTTAACTTTGTCGGGTTTTGCCGTTAACACGCAATTTCTGACCCCGACGTCTGTATAACTAAATTGTACAATTGACCTCTATCCAAGTTCACTGTTAACATAAAAAAATCCGTGTACATTTGAATGTTACGCACATTGTTACGGTCTTTAACACGATGATAATATTGTCAGTTATTTTTATGTTGTTCATTGATTTCAAGGATGATCTGCACTAAAATGTTTATGTAACTTTTTTCTTAAACGTATGGCAAATGATAGTTTCTTGACATATTTGTCAAATTTTTTGTTTGCAGCTTTGTTTAACATCTCTCTTCATTAGATGTTTGTTGAATAGTTTGATCCAACATATTTGACAAGTCAATGTTTGTCAGATTTTTTAATCAGTGATTTAATAATTAACTTCTTTTTTATTGGCGATTAAATATTAACTTACCAGCCAGCTTATATACGAAAATTTTTATTTTCACACTGCAATAAACCCATTTTTATCAGAGACTTTTTCTCACTAACTTTTGATTATTACGCTCTGAGTCAATCTATCAAAAACAGTGGACACGTATTAACTTTTCGTGTCTAAGTAAAACTTATTAAATTCCTCGAAGTCACGGTTCTATTAAAAGTCCAGTAGTTGCAGGAAGGGCCTTCGTACCGTATGGACCTTGATTTGTGTTTTTGTTGGTCAGACAAGTCCGACCAAAAGCGTCTAGCGGTCACGTCAATTTGACACGTTTCATGTAACAGCTAAATTGGTTCATATTCGTTAGTTAAATTACTGATGTGTGCAGATAGGATTGTTTTTGTTGCCATTTTTTTAGTACAAGATGTAAAGAATAAAAATTAAACGAGAACGAATCAAAGAATGTTGGGTTTAATGACAAATTGTATAAAGATGCAAAATTAAAGGTAAACACAGAAAATTATTTCCAAAAATAGAGTAGTGAACCATGAAACTATAGCATAATCACATGTGTGCATTATTGCAGCAAAAATGTAACAGGCGTTAACATTGAAATAAGATTCAAAAACGCAACCACGTACAAACCTACCAGTAAAAACTTTCTACTAAAATACACAAAATTATAAAACCAAGGATTATGTTAAAAAATCCTAATCTGTTACTATTTACAGACGAGCATTAGCTATACCACCAAAGTCCGGAGGTCCGTATTCGCACGACAGATGTCGCATGTACTCCGCGGACTGGGCAGCAGCGCTCGCACAGGGCCGTACCACGCCCGACGACGAGTGGCCCACTATACCATGCGCCCACGGCTGGGAGTACAACAAGAGCGATGTGCCATATGACACCATCGCCTCTGAGGTAATGATGGAATTAAAAAAATATTTGGGCAATATTTAATAATATTAAAATATTGAAAAAGAAAAAAGTGTTTTACCTAAAATTGTGTCGAAAATAAATGTCAAGTACTCGAAGGCTCATGAATAACTTTCTTAATTTAGTTGGACTGGGTGTGCGAGAAGGACAACCTACCTGCAACCGCACAGGCTATCTTCTTCTGCGGTGCCATCGTGGGCGGATTGGTATTCGGCTGGATAGCAGACAAGTATGGACGGATACCAGCTCTAGTTGGTAAGCTTTCAAATTGGATTTTATTCGTTCCGTATTAAAAAGTGGGACTGACAAATAAACGAATTAAATTGTCTTTGATTAGTTGTTTCATGTCTCCTATTAGTAAAAATAGTGTTCCAGTAACCAACTCGTTCCAGGTACAAACTTGATAGGTTTCACGGCTGGTGTAGGCACCGCGTTCTGCTCGACCTTCTGGTCGTTCGCGCTGTGCCGCTTCCTAGTCGGCCTCGCCTTCGACAACTGCTTTACCATGATGTACATCCTCGGTAAGAAATAGAAATGATACCTTAATTATTAAGGTAGTAAATTGTAGATGTTAACTTCTTTGTGTGTTTTTTTTTTAATTAAAGAGACAGTTAAAAAAGTGTCTTAGATTGCGACCGCTATTTATTTTTCTTTATAATGGCTTTTTGCACATGTCTTATGCAAAAATTAATCATTACCCTTATTTAGTCTGTTTTAAATCTTGACAACTTGTCCAAAAGTTTCGGCTATTGTGGCAAAGACCTAAAAACCTCTAAAAAAAATGTTGAGTCATACTAGTTAGACAAATTAATTGACACTATTTTTCTTAAAAGATCTAATTCATATTAGTGTTACAATAGATTTAGACCTAGGCTGTAGATTGGCGAGGACGAGGTTAGGTCGTCAAGGCGGAAACCTTGTTCGAGATACCTAGTATATAGAAAAAAATATTATCAAGATATTCAGCCCCAAAAAGATGGACTTTAAGTTGTAGCCAAAGCTAAGTCCAATAAACAGGCTTTAAGAATAAAGCTCACATTAAACAATTCAAAAGAAATTATAGACATTTACTTTGGCTTAATAGAAATCCTAATTAACAGGCGTGGTGTTACCAAATTTTGAAATTTTCGTCTGACTTTGTGTACCAGTTTTGGAATATGTGGGTCCGAAATGGAGGACATTCGTGGCGAATATGTCGATCGCTCTCTTCTTCACACTGGCGGCCTCGCTGCTACCCTGGATCGCGCTGCTGGCGGACGACTGGAGGCTGTTTGCGGCTGTCACCAGTGCGCCCTTCATACTCGCCCTGGCCACCCCATGGGTGGTCCCTGAGAGTGCCAGGTAACGCTAAAAGAATAAAGATACTACGATTGACAAGGACCGATGGTCAATAAAGATCGAAGTCCTCTAAATGTATTATACTGAGAAGATTCAAAACTGTTATTTTAAAGTAAAGATGTGATGTGATGTCATGTTTTTCCAGGTGGCTAGTATCCCAAGGTAAAATAGACAAGGCCTTAATCATAATGAAGAAGTTCGAACGTATCAACAAGACAAAAATACCCGATAAAGTATTAAACGAATTCACTGTGAGTATCATCCTAAGTATCTGTTTCTTGTTTTTCTTAACTTATCTATAATTGTTTGTTGTTTAATTAATAGTTTACCTTCAGAATCATCTTTGGTTCGCGTTTTTCCTTTAATTGTTATGTCGTCGTTACACAGTTATTGGTCTTGGAGAGTATTTATGACATCTTGAATTAACAATTTAATCGTCTAATTCACATTGCGCGCCCGGATGCGTCAACCGTTCTGGTGCCCCTAAAAGTATTACGTCCATTGTCTGACGCCCGCAATCGGGTTAAGACATCCCTGGGTATTAAACAGAATACTATACGTTTAAAGTATCTATTTAAATTTCCAGGAATCATCTCTAAAAACGATTAAAGAAAGCGAAGCGGAATCCCGCAGTTACTCCGTGCTGGATCTCTTCAAGACGCCTCGTCTGCGGAAGAACGCAATCCTGCTCATCATCATCTGGATGGCCATCTCTCTGGTGTTTGACGGTCACGTGAGGAATGTGGGCTCTCTGGGTTTGGACATATTCCTTACGTTCACCATTGCCTCTGCCACTGAGTTGCCTGCTGATACCTTCTTGACAGCGGTGCTTGATAGGTAAATAGGAGGATCTTGTCGTTTACATTATGAATGTTGATTGTTCGTTTCCCTTCCATAGTAATACTTAAATCTTCATTTACAACTTAAATAAGTATGAAGCCTTTGTATTGCAATCAACAATAAAGTTCAATATTAGGTTAAAGGATAATTTACTTTTTTGTGGTAGAACATTTTGCATACAGAGTATAAGTCTTAGTTCTTACTTCTTGCAGGTGGGGCAGAAGATGGCTGGCCTGCGGCTCCATGGTCATCAGCGGTATCTTCAGTTTGCTAGCCACGGCTGTACCAGTCGGTAAGTATTTTTTTAAATGAATGACTGACCAAAAGATGGAACGATGAACGAATGATTTAACATTCCAGGTGGACCATCAGCATCATTAGCTATAATGGGGAGGTTTGCGGTGAACATTTCTTACAACATCGGACTCCAGTACGCGGCGGAGCTGCTGCCGACAGTGGTGCGGGCTCAGGGTGTCGCCCTCATACATATCATGGGCTACGTCGCTTCCATCGTCGCACCATTCGTTGTCTATCTGGTAAATATAGACTACAATTACGGCTTCAGTAAAAAAAATAATCTTTTTAATGAATAGAGAGCACCAAATCACGATCCAACCTCATGTTAAAAGCTGATGTAGTCCAAAGATGGTACGCGTTAGTTTAGAAGGTGCTTCTCCACTCTACTCTTGAAGGCCTCCGTTTGTACTTGATTTGTTCCTTATAATAATGGGACATAAGGAAACAAACCTATACCCATACTGTCTCTGAGTAATTGTGTCATAACAAATATGTCGTACTTTTCTGATTGCAGCAAATGTTTGACATTTATTTAGTCTACTAATAAAGTTATTCAATTGTATACCTTACTGAATTCTGTTCATCCAGGCTAACATCTCACAAGACCTACCTCTGCTGATCCTGGGCGTGCTGGGCGTGATGGGAGGTCTGCTGTGCCTCTTCCTGCCAGAGACAATGGACACTGAGATGCCGCAGACTCTGCAGGACGGGGAGAACTTCGGAAAAGACCAGAAATTCTGGGATAATCCTTGCTTCTCCAGGTACGTTTATTACTACTATTACTAGCTCTTTCGGAAATGCAGAGATTCATAAACTGTATTTTCACTTTGTGCATGCAGATACAGACACTTTAAAAATCGAGTAATTATTACTTAGGTAAGCCCTTAGGAAAGACTTTTAATACTTAATCTGAGGGTCTTTAGTTCCTATAGTATCGTGTATTAAGTAATCAGGATTCGAACTTGGGATATAAGTAAATGTACATGCAATCTAACAAGGTTAAGTACATAACAATGACATATTCATTTACATAACATTCTCGTAAATATTTAATTACCATCTGTCATATATAATTAATAGTCTGTTTCCTAAGCAAAGGTAATGTCTATAACTTAAATCCAGTTTATTCTGGATTATACTAGTTCCCTGATTCAATAGAAGTACGAGTCAATAACTAAACGACGGTAAAATAAGTGACATGGTAAAATAACAATAAATACACGTTAAGTATTAGCATGTTTGAAATATTTATTTAGTACATGTTAATCGTAGAAATTACACATAAAATATGCTATTTCTTAATAATTAAAAGTTACTAAAAAGCATTGAAATATTGTTAAAAGTCACATAGCATGATGGACCGAAATTTTCTTATAATTATTTCGCAATGTATTTATTGAACATTAAATTTAAATTACTGAAAATTCCATTATTCTCTTAAATATATTAAAGTAAATCTGTCGAGGACTTCATCCTCATGGTGGCAAACGAGTGAGCAGCCATCTTAAATCGCTGAAATAGCGAAGTGACCGTTGTCCATAGAAACGCAATTGCATATGCGTTGCCTACCTTTAATCGACAGAGGATGGGATGGACAGAAAGAGAATATTTTCCTTTCCTATGCATTCCCTCATCCGGAAATCCACTTCCTCTTCCCGTCCTTTAAGAGAGAAAGAGGAGTAAAATAAGGCCTATTCTTGCTATTCATGACATACTTATCAAACGAAATTTTGACACATTACAGGAAGACAGTCGATAATGAGAGTCCAGAGAGGTACACCAAACGAGCCTCAGTTGCGCACGAGGAGCCTCAGTTCGTTAGGGCCCTGCCCAGTGCTATTAGCTCGAGGGCCTCTATCAGGGCCTCGGTCAGGGCCTCCGCGAGGGGCTCCCTTAGGAAGCGAGAGGTCAGCAGGAAGAGGGAAGTGGTATAAGACTAATAGGAAACTTATTGGAAAGATCTCGAATGTATTGTTAATGTTTTTTCACGTTTAGTACAAATTTTAAATCATTTATATAAGAAAGACAAGCATAATAAATATACTAAATATTAGAAAGTCTGTTTCAAATATAATGCAGAGACAAAATACGTAGAAGTACAAAAATCTATGAAACATAGGTTAAGAGCAGCTGACTCTGGCATTTTTGAATCCAATATCATTCTTGCCTAAAATATCCATAGCGTGGATACCTAATACTTTGATTTGTAAAAAAATTGCCCAATTTCTTGCCTCAACGTGATTTTATTACTTTGGTACTTTACTTTGGTAGAAAAAGTGTGATTAAAATTATTTATTCTTATCTTTAATGAAATCGATGTTTGTTAAAATTTAAAAAAAATTTATATCTTCATATTTGAACGAACAAAATTAATTTGAAAGTTGTTGTTTATGTAAAAATGAATCCTAGTTTTTTATATTGTAAATTGATTTTAGATTATTTTATCTTATAATATAAGTATTATAAATATATTTAATTAACTTACGTAAATGTTATTTAAGTCACGTTAAAATTAATAACAAATTTTGTTTATTTTCTTTGAATTTTTGTTAATTTTTTTTTGGTACAAAACCCACCTGTTTATATCGACAATATGTTAATTTCAAAATTGCGTTTTCATGTTTTTTTAACATATATTTTATATATAGTAATCTATATATTTTTTGTTTAACTTAAGTCCGCTACATACGTTCAGTTTATTCAGTTTTACAGTTTAACTGCTTAGTTAAAAATGAATGCCTGTATCGGACTTTAGTAATAGTGACTTAAGTAATATTTAAAGTTATGTCTAAGTTATGTTTAAGCAAAATAAAATGTACAACAGAAATTTCTGTTGCCAATTCATTATTTCTGAAAAACCGTTTGACAATTGGAAAACAATTCTGTGATATAAAATAAAATATAGTACAAAATTTATAGTGTTTTATTTTTTAATTTTTTTTTAATTATTACTATGACTCTTTTCTATTTACGAGTATACTATACAATATCTTAGTTTTCACATGTTTTTAGACAAGTCTTTCGGCAATGGAAACTCATGGTTACACTAAAAATGTTGATAATATAAATCGAAATGGGCTAAAGATCTGATTAAGCTCCTGTGTTGTTCAAAACAGTCAAGATATGGTAACTAATCGTGAACACAGGAATTCGTCTGTCGCAATCTCTCACAAAAACATGTTTTATATTAATGTTTGAGCGATGCGAACTCACTTTTCACAAATCAGGATGAACAGTACGATAGTCGATAAGAGTGAAGATAGATAGCTATCGCCCGCGTCTCCGTCCGCGTGAAATTAAAAAACTTAAACTTAATAAGTAGCCTATGTGTTCTTTCTAGATGTTCTACATCTAAGCCAAATTTCATCGACGTCCGTTCAGCCGTTCTGGAGATACCTTCAGATAAACATCCATCTAAACCAGTGGTTCCCAAACTTATTTTGTCTACTGCCCACTTTGAGAATAAATATTTTTGTAGCGCCCCCATATTTTCACATATTTAAAAACCACTATAACTTCAAATTAAATTAATTAATTATTGTGACCTATATATGTATATTAACGGAGAATTCTAAACGAAACTTTTACTATAACGCGCAACTTGAGACCTGCAGCACCCACAAGGGGGCGTTATCGCCCACTTTGGGAAAGACTGATGTAAACATTAGCATTTATAGTATTAGTAAGATTTATTTATTTTTCAACAATTTGCGTCATCCAGTGATAACCGGATGAAACTGACTTTGCTTAATATTTGTTTAATTTAAAAAGATTTAATTTGTAGAACTATATTTTACAGATTATTTCAGTATTTGAAAAAGATTTTATGATAATTAATATCTACATTATATTACGGTAAATGTTTGATTTTAAAATATTATTCTGCCATGGTTACTTATTGTTTCGTGAAAATATGCTTTTCTCTTTTCTTTCAAATGAAATGAATGAGATGGAATATGTTTTCGTCTTCTAATCTTACTAATATAAATTCGAATGTTTAGATGGATGGATGTTTGTTAGAATGTATATGCAGAACGGCTGAATAAATCTTGATGTAGAATATAGTCTGAAAGAACACATAGGCTACTATTTAAGTTTATTTTCAACTCCGCGCGGACGGAGTCGCGGGCGAGAGCTAGTTGTATGGCGGCTAGTTATATGGGATTATCATTATCCTCGATCTTTCATAATAAATGTATCTTTAAATAGCAATATATTAAACGACCTTCCTATTTTTTATCTGCACATCTTCACAATTAGCTCCCGATTCAAAATGTTTTAATCAACAATAAATTTTAAATAAATTTAAACTAAATTCCATTGGAATAAAGGATAATTTTGAATGCATATTTTGAGATGCATTCCGTCCTATCTGTGCAAGTGTTGCGATGAACAATTAAACTTTAATTGAAATGTACAAGCCGCGTCAACTTTGTCATAGAGATAAGAAAATTTAGACTTGACACTATCGAAATTGTCATGACTAACATCCTCTGATTTTTCTTTTTTTTATTTTCATCAGCGTTTTGTGAACTAGGCACGGCGACTAAGAGTGGGGTACAAGTTTCAAAATTAGCACGAGATTCAAAATAAGTCCATTTTAATATTATTAATAGTAAAATTGTGAATATAGATTCGGTCAAAACCTGCGCTATTATTTAAATATAAATTAATAAAAGCACATGGTTTTCGGCGACATTACGATTAGAGGGTTTTTCTGTTCCTACAAGCCACCATAAAGTTTGCATCCGAGAATGGACTGTCTATTCTACACATTACTAAGTCTACATCACTAAATCAATGGCAATGTTCAGTTAATCGAACCGCATGGTAACAGTTTCATCAGTCAATATAATACAGTACTTTTCCAATAAGAAAGTACCTAAACTACGTCATGTTGTGACGTCATAGATGTAAAAAAAAATATAGATTGGGTCAATAAAACTGAAAATTATGGCGATATGTTACGACGCGTCGTGGAGCGTCGGTGGCTCAGTGGTCAAACACTTGACTTGCAATCTGCAGGTCCTGGGTTCGAATCCCGCCATGTACCAATGTGTTTTTCAATTTCCGATTTACATGTGCACATTAATCCGACGTTCTTACGGTGAAGGAAAACATCGTGATGCTGCACATATCTGAGAAGTGATTCAAAGATATGTGTGAAGTCAACCAACCCGCACTTGGCCAGCATAGTTAACTATGGCCTAGTCACCCCTAACTTAGGGTAGGCTCCGAGCCCCTCGGTGGGGACGTATAGTGAGCTGATGATGATGTTACGACGCAAATAGTCAGAGATAGAGCAAGACTACTATTTTTAAGAAAGTAATGGATGGAGGAACGAAACCTACCATTGGTTTTTGATAACAAAATCTCTGAATGAAACATCTTTGACAAAACAGAGATTATGTTATGTTATAAACGGAGATTTTCGAGTCAGAAACCCAAGGTTAGACACGTGGAGGGTGACTAAAGGGAAAATAATAAATACACATTTTAATATACTAAGGTACGGGGTCTCTAACTTAGTAGAAAAACAATAATGCCGGAGAAACCATAAAAGTATGTGTTAAGTTTTACTTCTATGAAACTCTTGCGTTATTTTTTAAACTCCATTAGTTTTATTTACTAATCATACTAGAGTACCTACTCGTTTAAGTGGAATTATTGTTCTTTTATATCAGTGGTTCCCAAACTTATTTTGTCTACTGCCCACTTTAAGAATAAATATTTTTTAGCGCCCCCATTTTTTCACATATTTAAAAACCACTATAACTTCAAATTAAATGATTTAATTATTGTGACCTATATATGTATATTAACGGAGAATTCTAAACGAATCTTTTACTATAACCCGCAACTTGAGACCTGCCCCAATCCGGTAATAATAACGAAGTAACGGCCCGAGCCGAGGTTCCTGAGGGAGCCCTCGAGCTTAGTTACTCTTAAACGAGGTTTAGGCTGAGTGCCATCTGCGCTCGGCCACCTCAAGCCCGGTGAAGCTGTAAATGCCTCCTCAAGGCAAACAGTGGCAATCAGTCACAAAAAAAAATTGAGACCTGCAGCGCCCACAAACAAGGGGGCGTTATCGCCCACTTTGGGGTAGACTGTTTTATATCATAATTAACATACAATTTTACTAATAGAATAAGTTGTCGCAGACCCATTCCTTTTCCTTTACTCTCTTCTCACTTTCTTACAAAATGACTAACAACTCTTACTGTGAGTTTCTGAAAGCAAAATCCCTTTTATACCATATTGTTGTCTCTGTTTTGTCAAAGATATTGATAGGGATGGCGATATGTTATATACAGAAATCTCCGAACCAGTTTTAATCAATTTGGTTTATGTCGACAAAACCTTTTAAGATCTAATTAACAATTAACACAAATTTTAAATGGTAGACTAAATTCATTAAAACCATTCATGAAACTGTGAAAAATTTAAACTCATTATTATCTTTCAGTTGACGATAACTAAAAATAACTTTTGTCACTATTTACGCATATTTACCTAAGCGTGTAATTCAACTGCCTTGACTGCTGTTTTAATATTTTACTATTACTTATTTTTTCAAAGCGTATGTAAGAGATGACGTTATATAAGTTTGTTGTCAGTGGAAACCCACCTTAATATACATATTTATTCGTCGCGAAACCGCAAAATATAACAAAAGAGAAGCTAATTGCTTAGCGCCATTCTGTAATCAGCAACCGGACGAGACACAAGTCTCTTAGTCTCTTGGAGACACAAGTCTCTTAGCTTTTATTTTTTGTGAACATTTCTTGTGTCATAGTGTCTTTGGTGGCAACTAGTAAAATAACGGGTAAGTGAGACCCATATCAAAATTAAATAAAATATTTAATATAAAGCCAGTATAATTAGTATAGATCCAATATAATTTTCAATTTTCCTTAACCGTATCGTAAGTTATAAGTAAAAAAAATTAAATCAACATGATAAAGTTTCAAAAATAGACGCTGTATTATATACGATATTAAATTTTAATCTATAATAATATTTAGTAATACATCAATTTTGTTTAATGGAAAAATATAAGGATGGACATAATAATAATAAAGGAAAAGAAACAAGAATAATAACAACAAGCAAAAAAATTTTAGACTATATTTTAAAGACTGGCTGTTTCACAACGCCAAATAAAATGTAAAAAAAGTAAACAAATTGCGCGGGAAAAAAGAATATCACAAAAATAACTTACAGAAGAATA